AAACAAACACTAGCTTTCTATTTTTTCTATTCTATCTACTTGTTTTTCTTTGTGTGTGTGTGTGTGTGTATATATATATATACACCATGCTACGTGTACTGCGTTAGGCTAACCGAGACTTGTCATTTGCACTTATATATTGTTGCTCTTTTGTTAGTTTTGACTGCTTTTATTGTCCTCATTTGTAAGTCGCTTTGGATAAAAGCGTCTGCTGCTAAATGACTAAATAAATAAATAAAAAATGTTGAGCAATGCAATTACTAAACAGAGAGCTAGAAACGTACTGTAGTCTATTAGGAAAGCTGCCATACAATAAGCATACAAGCATCCTGTGAGTGGAGAGGGTTTTCCTCGGCCATTCAGCTCAACTGTCATGCATGAAATGAGTGCAGCCATCATTATCAGTCATAAAGGATGCCCACCTCTCCATTGTGGTCTTGATTACATCCTAATATGTCTCTAGGTCAGGGATATTTTTGGCCTCATTATTTCAGCCCTTTTCAAACACTGGCACGTCTTTTGTGACGGCCGCCAACCTTTTTTTCTCCCACTGGACTCCAAAGGTGCATTTATATTTCAGCGCATGAGTGCGCATCACAAAAGTGTCCAACTGAAATCATATTTCCTTTATGCACATTCTTCCATTGCTTAATCATCCAGGGAACTGTAATTCATCTTCCGCTGGCTGTGCGAACTAAACTCTGTTTATGTGGACGTGGCGGTAAGAAGATTGAATTACATTCTCATCACAGAGCTCAGAAATGAGTTCAAATAACCTTTTGGAACAAACAGATGAATCCATGCAGCTCTTCTCATATCATAGCAGATGCTTGGGCTATAGCAGATGGCACGGCGAAGGCTGCCTACAGATATTTCTTCTGAGGAAAACAACTACTTCCTAAATAGAAGCCGTCTGCTTTGTGTCAACACACACATGCACAAAGGGGATTACAGATACAAATGTTTACTGATTATTACCAAGTTATGTTTATTGCTTACTCAGGATATGTATTGTAAGATATTATCATTCATAAAAAAAGACACATTATGTTTATGAATCACCATTCTAGTGAATAAGTCCATTCTGCAAGGTTTTCTCTCTTGTATGTGGTATTGGGAAATGTAATTCATTATAGTGAAGTGCTTTGTCCTAAATGATTCTCTCTCTTTTATATTGGGAAATCTGATTCATTCTAGTGAATCAGTCCATTCTGAACAGTTCTCTCATATGGTACTGGGAAATCTGGTTTATTTTAGTGAACTGGTTCATCCTAAATTATCTTTTTTTTATCTCATAGTGCGGGAAAATCTGATTCATTCTAGTGAATTGTTTCATTCTGAACAGTTCTCTCTCCTATATGTCTTACACTATTATTCATTCTAGTGAATCACTTCATCTTAAATGGTTCTTTGTCTTGCATACTGTATGTAGTATTGGGAAATCTGATTCTTTGTAGTGAATTGGTTCATCCTAAACTGTTCTCTCGCTTTCATACTGTATGTAGTGTTGGGAAATCTGATTCATTCAAATGATTCGGTTCATCTTAAACAGTTCTCTCGCTTTCATGCTGTACGTAGTGTTGGGAAATCTGATTCATTCTTGTGAATCAGTTCATCCTAAATGGTTCTTTCTCTTTCATACTATATGTAGTATTGGGAAATCTGATTCTTTCTAGTGAATCGGTTCATCCTAAATGGTCCTATTTCATATGTAGCTCAGGAAAGTCTGATTCATTCCAGTCAAATTGTTTGTTTGGAAGAGTCATTTTAATGAACTGATTCACAAAAATGATTCACCAATGTTTTTGTTACTGTATGTATTGAGTGTTCATTAGTACAAAACCCCACGCTGCAAACATCAGCTATGATTAAATTGGGTAGTATAATAATCTGTGTAGCTCCAATGTACTTACAGTAGTTATTTTTCTGTCTGTAGCTTGCAGTGTACTGTAGTTTAACAACTTCAAATTATGTTCAAATTTCAACGCAGTCTGAAGCTCAAAGTAGGTTCAATTTTCAGACACATTTTGCAATGCAGTGATGCACAAAATCCTACATAGCAAAAAGCTTCTGTATTCACATACTTGTGTTGCACGTTTCGAGCCTTATGGTTTAGCGTTTACCAACCTGGTAGTCCATTTTCCACTGAGCTCCGTGGTCAGGATGTGTCTGTCCTATGAGTTCCTGGACTTTTGCTCTTCTAAGAGGGTTTTTGCCCACCACTGAGCTGGGGTCACTAGGGGTGTAGGCCTTCTTCATGGGGTTGTAATCTACAATCTGATTGGTGCTGTAAGCACGTCTTCGCGGAGAGGTGGCTATGTCAGTTCCTGTGTAAAGAAAAGAAAAGAATTTGTCTAATTTTCTCTTTAGTTTTCTCTCAATTTATCTTAATGTTTGCTGACTTCATGAAGAAACCTCTCTTTCATCAGGAGACATCAGGATTAGTTCATCGAAAAATGAAAATTCTGTATCTTGTATGGACTACTTTTTAAATACAAGTTTACCCTGTATAGAGCTGTACTTTACCCATAATGTCTTGCTCCGTGGCAACAGGACTGCTCTCGGACATGGTCTCCTGGCAACCGTCAAACAGCGAGCTGACTTGATTGTCCCTGTGCGGCCCCTGACCGTCAGAGGAAACCTTCCCAGCATCCTCCTCTTGAGAGTGATAGAACACTGAACTGGCCGACTCGTTGGAAAGCATCATGCTGTACCGCCTCCGTTTGTCCCGT